AGCAGATTGTCAAGGAGAAGCAGTCTCACAAGAAGGGGTGTGGAGCTTCAGGCCCCCAACAGGTCCAAGGATAGCCCTAACTAGGAGATGCATGTGTAATCCAGCTATTTTCTAAGCTACCAATAGTAAACATAAATTTGTAAAGACTATGGGATGTTCTGATACTAGATAGTGAGTGTGGAATTTTGTACAATTTGGGGTAATTCAGCCAGGGATTTAGAAAATAAGATAACCATTCATGCAATTCTAAAGTCTTAGTGATTGAAATATCTCTTTCCTCTGAAGGGTTGTTGGGAATAATCTCTAAGAATTTTATTACAGGCCTATAGTTAAGACTATGATAACTTTGTGCTTATGTGAAGGTACTTCAAAAAATTTGTGGAAAAACAGAATTGAAAGATAATATGAATCTTTCCATGAACTCTTTGAAGACCCCTCATATAGCACAAGACATAAAATGTCATACCGGAATGTTTATTTTTAAAAAATAAAACACAGGGCATTCTATTTTAGTAGTTCAAGTAAGTGATTTTAGTTTAATCTCAACTGCATGTGCCAAAGACAATTTTTTTTCAAAGTTACAGATACACTACCATTATAATGTCCAGAATACAAAGAGTTCTAAAATGAAAAGCAAACATTTATTTTTGCTTCTATGATTTACATCATATAGAATTAATGGCATGATCACTGTACTTTGTTAAAATATATATTTTAATGTTAAGCCTAAATAATGTTTATGTAAAAGACCGGGTAATAAGTAGTGCCACTGTAGGGATTTTAGATGGCTGAACTAATTCATGTGCCTTTCCTCACATATTTTATTTTCTACTCATCTCTATTTTGATGTGAGATCTGTTTTCTTTCTCATATTCACTGTATTTTTTCCTTATGTTTACATTTTTGCTGAACACTGAGCTAGAATTCTGAAGTTACCTACTATTCCTGTGAACTTGGGCAGGCTGCTCAAACACTGAATAACAATTGACTCATCTTTAAAATAGCGATGATGATATTCATTCATTCATTCATTTAAGAATTTATTCAGGAAACATTCTTTCACAAGGGTGCTGGGAGGATCAAATGATTCAGTGCTTTCAAACGTATCAAGTTACTAGCAATTAAGGGAGGTATCGCATTGACCGTATATTTTAAATTTTGTATTTGTATTATAAAAGCAAGTTTGTCTTATTTAAGAGATGTGCGACACTTCCTATGCAGAGGGAGGTCAGGTATTCCCCCAACAGTTTGCATCAAGTATCTCTATGCCTGCAAGTGTGATGTGGGTGTTACCTGCAGACCTAACTCCCAGAATTTCAACTGCATTATCCTGCAGGCCATGACTCAAGGAGCAACGCAATTTCACATCCTTTCCTACCACCCTTCACATGCTCCAGGGAGGAGTTAGGTGGCAGATTTATTTCATGACAATAACTCCCCAAGTACTAACCACAGAGGCTGTATACAGCTGACTTTGGAATCTACCTCTGAGAATTAATCCCATCTTTGCCTCCCCTCGCCTTCTTTTCCTTCCTATCATTGGTGGGCCTTTTGTCCAAACCCTTTTGTAGTCAACTTTTGTGGATATGTAAACTATGTATGTACTTCAAGAGGAATATACAGTACTTGAAAATATAAGGCCTTCTTTAATTTATAATTTGTGTGTCTGTGATTGAAAGAATTACCATGTACTAACCAAGATGCAGGTGCAGTTTAAAATGTAGTGCCCTTGAAAATATATGTTTGAGTAACAAAAATGTATTCCTCATTTCAGAACATGATGAGTGCATCACAAATCAGCACAACTGTGATGAAAATGCTTTATGCTTCAACACTGTTGGAGGACACAACTGTGTTTGCAAGCCGGGCTATACAGGGAATGGAACCACATGCAAAGGTAAAAAGTTTAAATGCCAACACCTCTTCCGTTAAGTATGATGCAATCTATTTCTGTGTCCCTTTACCCCAGTCATTCCTGTTACGTACCTTCCGTGCACTTCCCACAGTCAGAGAGCTTTGGAGTGTAGCTCATAGTCTTCCTCTTAGGTCTTACCATCCTCCTGGGTTATTTCAGTGTGTAAGTGGCCAAACTGTTCAGCTGCTTAGACCTAAGGTTCCTTGACCTCAGCCAGAGTGGTTTTCATCTCCATTCCTCTCTAGCAAACCATCTCCTTGACCGCATCCTGGACATTTTTATTTAGAATTGCTTCATCTTTGAAATCTTAAACTTCAACATTTTATGGTTCAACATCAAGTTTTTCTGCTTCCAATTTGCTCACTCTGTTCCTTCTACAACTCTGGATCTTCAATTTTGTTGAACCTTCTTTTTTC